CTTCACCTGGATTATTGGACGCTGACATCAAAGCAGAACAAGCGATTGCTCAGGCTCTTGGCAAACTTTCACTGAAAGAAAGAGAACGAGCCTATGAAGATGTCCATGGCATCAGCCAACCAATAGACGAAACGCCAAAGACGATTGCAGACTTGATGCAGAAACTCATGTTCGAGTTGGCTTCCATCAAGTCGAAACCAGCCTTTGATATCGCCAAGCAACTTTCTGAAGACTTTGTCACCAACCATGCCTTCCTACTATCTTTCTTGCGAGCTGAATGCTATGATGCTACCAAGGCAGCCGCTCGAATGGTTAAGTATTTTGAAACCAAGAAAGAACTCTTTGGGGCCGAAATGCTTACCAAGACCATCACCTTTGAAGACTTAGACTCTGATACCCAAAAGGTGGTTGCTCGAGGATCAATAAGTTTACTTCCATCAAGAGATACACTTGGAAGGTATGTATATGTATCTTCGCCTGGACATCATTTGAGTGGGTTGACTACGCTTGCAACCTTGGTAAGTTTCTTCAATTGGCGTGAAGTATCTGAAAGTTATGCTTTGTGTCTCACATGCACTCTTTTCGCTGAAAAACGACTATGCAGCCAAAGGCAGTCTGGTACATTGTTAGCACCGTTGCCGAAGATGAAGAGTCTCAGCTCAAGGGATTTGTCGCGATTACGTACGCAGTTGGATCTCAATTGCAAGATAAAGGGGGGGAGAGGAATAAGGCAATGTGGTTCGCTTGTGTGAATGCTGGCACTTGCATCCCTGTGCGAGTTTCGGGTTTCCATCATTGTCACAGCAGTACTAAACAGTTCAGCCTCATGCTCAAGGTTGTCACCATAGCGGGGGACAGTTCGTTGTGCGTCAGAATGCGAGTTCACGAAGGGTCTCATAGTGAATGCCAATACAAACTCATGACTTTCGGGATTCCTGCCAAGGATTTTCCAGTAACACTTGAGGGACAGCTGAAGAGCGGCAAACACAAGGGATGGTTGGACCGGAGAAAGCAAAAGGAACAAT